ATTTCCCTCACGGCAGTTCAGGTTACTTCTTCAGAGGGGGGAATGTTGTAGGCAGCCGAGTTAGATAGAAATATTATAGGCAGTCAGACAGGGCCAGGCCCTCAAGGAGACTAGATGGAAGACAAGGTGACTTTGCAACTTGGAAGAGACAGACACTCCCATATTGGCCACACCTCAAGACCAAGACAAAAAGAGGAAGCACAGCTACATACTTCCCTAGGGATGGGCATTAGAGATTGATCCTAAACAGTATCAATCAACTTGAAAGAGCCCAAATGAGTCACTAGCCCTACCCCCAACAGGAAGAGACCCTGCTTTGTTTCGGTGCCCGCTTGCTATGTGACTCGCTTTCCCATTTGGTAATGGATTTAATCAATTTTACCTGAGCAATGGTGCTTGTAATCTCATTGATTGACCATAGTTTTGTCCCACCTCATGCCCAACTAAGCGAGTTCCCATGTCTTCTCCACCACCTTAGACCCGCCTCACCACATGGTTTACCTCTATAAAAGTCCCTGCAAGAGACAACTTCCTGCTGGGGAGTGGGGGATGGGAATTACCCACTCACGCCCCCCCCCCACAGGAGCTTTCTTTCTTTCAATAAATATATTCTGCTCATAAAAAAAAAGAAATTAATCTTCTTTTTCTTTTCTTGAGATTCTTGGACCCAAGTCCTTGGCACTGAGCTACTCTCCAGTTGTTTTTTTTCTTTTATCTTTGAAACAGGGTCTCACTAACTCGCAAGTGGCCCAAGCTAGGTTAGAACTTTTAATCCTCCTACCTCAGCCTCCTGGAGCTGTAGGGTTACAGGTGTGTGCCACTATGCTTAGCTAGTCATTTTATGTATATATTTATAAAAACAGTGTGATAATTTGATATATTTATTATACAATGTGTAATGATCAAAACACTTGTGAAAGCTCACAACTCCAATATTTTTAAGTCAGGAACTTAGTGTATCAACTTCCTTAAATAGCTCCTAAGTTTTTTGAAGCACATAATAATTGTATGTATTTACAGTGTGCTATTTCAACATGTGTACAATATGTGCTGATCAAATTTTCTAACTAACATTTCTACCTCCTTACCATTACTTTGCAGTTGCAGTCCTGGAACTCCTTTCTTCTAGTTATTCCTAAGCTATATAATAGGTTGTTGTGAACTGTAGTGGACCCCAGGCTGTACAGTGCTCAGACTTATTCTGTGTGTGTTTGGGGGCTGTTATGCACCTTTCCTCGACCTTGACCTCTCTGTGTCTAGTAATCTCCCTCCATATTCAGATTGACTCTGACTTTCTTCAGTGTCCATGTATGAAAGAAAACATGTGGTGTTTGTCTTCTGTGTCCAGCTTGCTTCTCTTAACCACGTCCTTCAGTTCTCTTGTTTTGCTGCAAATGATAGAATATCTTCTTTGTTTTGGTTTAGTTTTTGAGTCAGACTCTTGCTATGCAGCCCAGGCTGCCTTCTAATTCATAGATTTCTAGGGGCTGGGCTTCCTGTGTGTGCCACCACACCCTGCTTAGAACACTGTCGTGGTCTATATCCCATGTCCCCCAAGCCTTATGTGTGGAGGCAGGGCTTGTGGGAGAGGCCTGCATCATGTGAGCCACCCACCCCACTGGCCCATTTGTGCTGCTCTCTGTCACCCTGACACAAGCAGCTTTTTCTGTGCTGTGCTCCTCTGCCAGGCCTCCCTGACAGGGAGCCAGTGAACTACAGACTGGAAGCCCCACAGACTACGCACCAAGTGGATTGCTCTCTCCTCTTTTAATTTGCAGGTGCCGGATATTGCGTCTCAGTGATGTGAAAGTGACTGTGATCAGTATCCTCCTTTTCATGACTGAAGAGCATTCCGCTGTGTATATACATTTCCTTTATCCACTGGGCACTTAGTTAGCTATAATAAACAGTGCAGCAACAAAGACTGGAGTATAGGCATCTCTCTGATGAGCTGATTTTATTTCCTTTATATATTTACCCAGGAGTGAGATGGCTGGATCTATCTTTAGTTTTCCAAGGAAGGTCCATACTATTTTCCTTCATGGCTACACTAATTTGCATTCTAACCAACAGCGAGAGAGTGTTGTGTTCTCCTTCCTCTGAACCCTTGCCAGTACTTGTTATATCTTGTCTTTTTGGTCAGAAGCATTCTTCCTAGGGTAGGAGATGGTATTATATTGTGGCTTTCATTCACACTTCCCTGATGGCAAATGATGTTGCACATTTATTTCATAAATGTGTTGGACACTTGAATTTCTTTCCTTTTTTTTTTTTTTTTTGAGAATTACCTATCCATATCATTTGCCCATTTCAACTAGATTATTTGGTCTTCTGTTACTGGCATTTTTGAATACCTGCACATTCTGAATATTAATCCTTTGTCAGATGAATAGTTTGCAACTTTTTCCTATTCTGTAGGAATAGGAATAGACAGAAATTTCTTGGTTTGATAAAATCCCACTTGTCTATTTTGCTTCTGTTGCCTGTGCTTTGGGGTTTAATGTAAAAATCAAATGAACAAAAAGTTGTCTTTACCAATGTGACTGCAGAGTCTAAGTGGCTTCACCGAGGTGGTGAAAAAAGAGGGACTTTTAGGCACAGGTGACTGGGAGCCCGAGGAACAACAGGTGGAGGGCGTGCAGGCATTCAGACAACTCAGACAGGACTGGCTCATGCCAGAAACACACTCAAAGCAGTGGGTGAGCCCCACTGTATAGGACTTCACCTGTTGGACCCAGGATTTCTGATGTCTCTCTTTACAGAGAATCTATTCTGTTCTACCTCTAGATTCCCCCCCACACACACCCACAAGCCTCATGCATGCATAGGCAGGCAGGGCTTCTGGAAGGGGATCAGGGCTGGGGTGATAGCTCAGTAGAATAAGAACTTGCCTGGCAAGTGCAAGGCCCTTGATAAAAGCCCTGAGTTCAATCCCCATTACCGAAAAGAGAGAGAGAGAGAGAGAGAGAGAGAGAGAGAGAGAGAGAGAAACATGGAAGGTGATCAGATCATAGGGCTTATAGCTGACTTGCTGTTTGCAAGTGGGGACAGGGGCTGGGGAGATAGCTCAGTGGTCTAAGCCCCTGCCTGCGAAGTGCAGGGACCCAGATTCGTTCCTAGCTACCACATGCCATATCAGCCCTGGGGCATGGTGGCGCATGCCTATAATCCCAGTGCTGGGGAGGTTAGGAAGCTGAGACAGAAGGATCATTATGAGTTTTAGCTCTGTAGCAAAACCCTGTGAGAGAGAGAGAAAGAGAGAGAGAGAGAGAGAGAGAGAGAGAGAGAGAGAGAGAGAGAGAGAGAGAGAAGAAGAAGAGAGAGAGAAGAAAAGAAAAAAGAAAAGAAAAGAAAAGAAGAAAAGAAAAGAAAAGAAAAGAAAAGAAAAGAAAAGAAAAGAAAAGAAAGAAAAGAGGTCTTAAGAGGCAGGTTCCTGGGCACATGGACTATAAGGTTCTATCTCCCCCTTGCTCCTGCCTTTACTCTCTCTACCTTGTAGTAGGTGGCTATTTTTCTGATAGGCCCTTGTGCCTGTTGTCCTGCTTTGAGG